TAAGCCTTAAAGGACAGCTGTAGGCATAGCTTTGGGTATTTAAGCTTCAGAGAACTAACCTACCTGAATTTACTAAGCCGTACTAAAACCTCTGCAACAAAAAGAATGTAACATTTCTTTAATAATAAACTCAAGAAGCCATAAACCCAGGTATATTCTAGTTCTGATAGTCCATTTATCTCCCAATATTTAGCTTTTTTTATTCAAATGCTTAAAATTACATGATGATTATAACCTATTTCTTAAGCCAAGTAAAGCAAAGAGACAATGTCGTCAGTCCTGAGGGGAAATTAAATACAACATATTTCTTCCAGCATCTAGAAAGAGAGCACAGTAACAACAAGCTAGAAGGAGGCAGGGTGAGACCCGAGACATTTAAAGCCCAAGTTTACAGACACATACGCACAGAAGTTACTAGATAACTACTCCTCTCTGATCACCAGCTTTCTTGATTCAGTCACCATGCCATCATCCCTCTTCCATTATGAAAACCTTGAGACATTCCAGTACAGAAAAGGATACCAATTCTATCAGATTTATTTCCCAAACACTCCCATCACTGTGCCTCACCAGTTTACATGTACTACACTCTGCTACTTGAAAAATCACATACACAGCATTCAAAAGAGGCTGCATTTGAAAAGTGAAAGCTGAGATAAAACAACTATCTCCATTATCTGAAGGATCAATGCTTCCCAGCTGCTAAAGCTGATCATCTTCAGTTTGTATTTACTCTAGGTGTGTTCCATCGTGAAAATAATCCCTTTTTTGTTTAAAACTAATCCACAATTACCAAGCATAGAGAATATTCCCATCTCCAGCAAGTCACTTTGTCAAATGTGAGAAGACTGATGTAACCCTACAAAATTACTATAAATAGAAGATATATATAATCGTCAACAATTATTTTCTTTGGTTATTAATGTTTCAATCAAGTTATGGCTAGTATCTTTTTAGAACTACTTTTTCCTCTCTCATAGGAATCTTGATCGTGCTCTTCCACCCCCTCCCCCTTTTTTTTTTTAACGGAGGACAATGAGGAATGCCAAATTGCATCTGCAAGCGGAAATATGCGCTTATATTAACTAAAATTAAGTAACATTCTGCAACAGTTATGTTTACCAAATACTTGAAAAAAAGCAGACCATATAACAACTTTCAGAAGAATTTAGAATGTTACCATTATCCCTGTGCTTCTAACCACATTGTATAGACCTGAACTTTCTCCAACTGTATTCTGTACACTTTCTCACACTAAAAACTTTTGAACAAGGTTAATTATGGCTATTTTATGCCAGCTGGAGGGGAGTGCCAAAAGGCTGGCACAGCCTGCAACAGGAGTTAACAGAGAAAACAGATGAGTGGTCCATGGCATCCAGCAGCATCTGATAAGAGTCTATGAATGTACTTACATATACTGATCTCCTCCAGCAATTTTTGAAAATTTAAGGAAGCAGATGCTTTGGAAGCTCTTTGGCTAATAACAAAGACCCAATTTACAGTACAAAACGTATCCTTCTGTTAGATTAAGAGTCACATTTTAAAGCTATGCAAAGCTGTAATAAACATCAGATCTCACTAAGTACCTGTAGCTTGTTGATTAAATCAGTATTAAAAAAATGGTTCACTTATTGCTGTAAGGAATTCTAGAACCAGTTAAAAGTTCAAACTCGTGGAGATTGGCTAAGCTTTCTTCAGAGAAGGAGTAATTATATGTTCTCTCTTTTAATTACTAAAAACAGTCTTTATGTTAAAGGCAAGCGCTTGTATCAAATTTCCAAGAGGTTGGGTGGTAGTGTAGCACGAAAATGCATTCAAAATTGAAGTATTTAATACAACAGGAAAGAAAATCTAGAATTTTTCTTTAAAGTATTGTTTGTTCAAATTACAATCTCTTGAAATACTCAAGCTTCAGTTGCAGTATCCCACACACATTACACATAGTTGCACACCCACACACAAAGATATAGGCCCTTCTTTAAAGGGCATTAATTACTATGGCAACTACAGTCGCTGACATAGGCAGCTCTATTTATTTAATCATATTTTGTATACCCCTAGAAACACCAGAACCCCATGACATTTGCAAATACAGTTCATAATCCAGTTTTATCCTACTTTATCCAATAATTATGTGAAATATAACACAAACTAACATGCATCTTAACTAAATGAATATACAAGACACATGTCATACAAACAAATATAGTGAAGATTTGAGCTCCATGGAAACCTTACTGCAGTCTTCCAGTACCTGAAGGAGCCTACGAGGAAGCTGAGGGGGACTTTTTACAAGGGTCTGTAGTCACAGCACAAGGGGTAACGGGTTTAAATTGAAAGTGGGGCCATTTAGATTGGTTATCAGGAAAAAATTCTTCACAGAGAGGGTGGTGAGGCACTGGAACAGGTTGCCCAGAGAAGCTGTGGATGCCCCACCCCTGGCTGTCTTCAAGGCCAGGCTGGACAAGGCTTTGAGCAACCTGGTCTAGCGGAAGGTGTCCCTGCCCATGGCAAGGGGGTTGGAACTAGATGGTCTTTAAAGTCCCTCCCAACCCAAACCATTCTATGATTCTATATAAACTCTAGAAATACATGAATGCATGCATCACTATCCTTCTACATCCAACACTGCCTGAAAATTTCAGTGTGGAACATATTCAGTAAGAGATATCATCCCTCTCCACCCCTCCAAAAAAAAAAAAAAGTTATATCTCTACACCAATATTTAATATAAGATACATCAAAAGAACCAAACTGGAAAAAAAAAAATTCAGTATAACTGTTACCCACACAACCTTCTCGTAATTAGACTGTATATTACCCATTTAAATATGCACACACACAAATTTACATATTGTCCTACTGAACCTCTGCCCTGCTCCGTGCACAGAACAATTAAGAAACACTTACTCAATATTTTATATTTTTGCTCAATCTGACCTGACTTCCTCTCTTTCTAATATTCACCTCTTTCTCTAAATAAACAGAATTACTAAAACATCCCTCCCCACAGCACTCAGCGTTATGGGAACTAATATTTTTAAATATCCCATGAGACATTATCTTCATAACTGAAGCTGAGGCATAAGGAGATCCACAAGAGATCCATATAGTAGCCATTCATTTAGATCTTCATTTTAAGACTTACTTTGTTTTAATACTTTGCATTGTGTAGTACCTCATATATTAAAAGCAAAGTTTCTGTTGAGTTGTTTGTGGATTCAGGTGTTCAGTAATCCCTCTAGTTAGGCCTTAAGATCTTAGACATACTGAATAAAATAAAAAGGATTGAGTAATTACTGGTTTGCTGTGAAAAGTTTGTTTTATGAGCTTGTCTCATGCCATTTAGGAAGCTTGTGACAAAGCAAAGATAGAGTTCAGTTCTACTGGGCAGCATTAAACAGTCTCAACCTTGAATCTCTACTTTTCTCTTTCTGCAGATTCCCGTTACATTCATTACAGACCTTCCAACGGCACTGGTAGGTCAGGGAGAGCAATACAGGGTACTGGCATCTTGTCGTACAATTCTACAACATTTCTATTCAGTAAGAACTGGAACAGAAGTTGTACGGTGGAAAAAAAGGGGGGAAAAAAGCACACATCTGCAGAGGAGTGGGAGGAGGGGAAGCAAGACTTGGGAAATTTTAGTTTCTTTGCCCTTTGTAGAATATACTACACTTAGTCTGCACAGGCTTTTCTGCTCAGTTCCTCCAAGTTCCACCCCATCAATTCTGCTGCTGTCCTGCCTCAAGGCTCCTTGTTTCAGACCTCTTCTCTTTGTCCTGTTTCCAAGATTCAGGACTCTCAGTTGAATATGCTTGCTAAGCCTGACAGCATCTTTTCTTCTAGACTTGCTCTCTTAGCTCCACTCTGCCTACTAGTCACAGTTCCTACTCCCCTGTCATTCTTTGGGTCCAATCTGCACTTAACCATCCCCAGCAGTTCCAGTAGCCAGCCTCTCTCTCCATCCTTGACCGAGATACCAGTTCCCCACAGCTACCAATACCCCCACTTAAATTACCCCATGGTGTCCTTTGCTAGCCCTCTTGTCCCAGGCTCTTCCTCCCTTTACTAGTCATTTGCCCAGTCCTTCCTCCTCCTCAGTTACTACTCCCTTTTTACACCAATCCTCATTTTCTTCTCTACAGCTTCCAGATTCCTTCACTTGCAGATCATCAACTCAGCAGAATATTACTTCCCTCAACCTGGTCACACTATTGTTCTTTAGGTACCTCATGTCTGTTTGAATATATTTGTTCTTTTGGCAGCTCTTTTCTATCCCACTTGAGTGACAACTGAAGATCCTCAAAAGCATAGGAAAGAAAGGCTTCCCCCTTCCCTTTCAACATCTAGTCTGACAAACTACCAAGCCCTGAAATTTGTCCTGCAACACACTCACTCAGCAAAGAAAGCACACATGCAGTATGGCCAGTGTCATCAAAGAGATGCTCTGGGAGTCTGACAGATTTCAGGAGCTAACGACACAGCTATTTGTACCCACAGAAATAGGCATTTTTGAGAGGGTCTGTTAATCTGCATGAAGTTTCGTAGCTCTTCATAGGGAAAACAAAATACATACAGAAGATAAAAGCCATCCTCTTAACAGATTTCCAGACCGAGCTCCAAATTACGAGTATCAGAGCATTCCATATAATGTCACAAGAATTTACAGTGAGGCAGGATCATTCTACTAAACTTTTTCCTCAGTAACAGTTGAGCTATTCCGAGTAAGTATCTTCCTAAACTACTGCAGGCTGAGGAAGATATCCTGAATAGAGAGGACTGAAAGGACATTTCTGTCTGAGCAGAAGAGCTGCATGCACTTACATGTGCTTATTTTCAATAGGCAGCAGAGACATTAACACACAGAAAAAACTAGCTCTTTTGCAGGGACATTTACTTTGGAACTGTAAGAGACACCAAGAATTTGTGTTTCCATTAGTTCATCTACTTTCTTATAATGTTTGGGTTAAAATAGATACTACTGCAGTTTAACTTACCGAACATTTTCTGGTCTCAGTTTATCCAGTACCATCTCTATTAAATCAGGCCTGAATTCTTCAAGCAAATATTCAGCAGCCAATACTTCTTCTATAGGATAATACTAAAAAAACAAAACAAAGCCCAGAAACATGTGGATGATCTAAACAAAAAACTAAGCATCAAAAAACATACTATTTTGTAAAGGAATTAAAACTGCATACTTTGGGTCACTAAATATATATCACCTTGGTAATTTAAAATTAGACGTTCATAGATGTCTTAAGAAAATCCTTCTCTTAAAACTAAACCTGCAATCTCTAACTATGCAATCATTTTTCTGCTATATTAGTTAATTTTATATACTACATACTACCACTCGTTTCTCTTGAAATATTCCATGTTTCAATACAATAAGTCACCCACCTTTAAATATTGTTTTGAAGCAAGTGAAGTAAAAAAACCATGGTAAATGCTGACCCCTGGAGGATAATTTTAAAGATAAAAGAGCACCAAGTACTCATGAGAGTGCATTTGGGAAAAACAAAACAAAAACCAAAAAACGCCCCACTAAGATTTTTAAGATTCTGCAAGAATTCAATTTTTATTTGCAATAATTTAAAAGAAAGTATAATTCAATTATCTAAAAGCATAATACAACTTTACATAATTTTATTTAGGATTAAACTGAAAATCTCTTAAAGTACATGTCAATTTAAGAAGAAAAAACAGTTAAAATTCCTCTGAACATTTTTTGTGTGGTTGACAGGAAAACTGTTGATAAACATCTGTTTACCAAGGGAAAAATACCAGGTGACCTAAGTACCAAGTACTTGCGGTCTGCCATACACATGTACTTGTTTTGACCAGAATTAATAAAAAATGGCCAAGGCAATACAGGTTTAGTGACCAAAAGACTACAGTTTAAACACAGACTACCTAGCAAACATCAAGCCTATACATGACAAATACGAAACACAATTTGACAGCAAGACCTTAGTGGTGACTCCTTAGACCAGCACAATTGTGCTTTAAAGATAAACTTCTGTTTTGTTGAATAAAAAGGTTTTTTAAGTGCTTTTGGTGAATACAAAGCAATCTGTGAGATCACATTTACTCATGCTAACTTATACACGGGTTCTTCTCTGAGTTATGAAAAACAGGTAGTATTCATAAGCACATGAAATCACCGAACAGTTCTAGCGTGCTTAATTCAAGGCGTAAACTTAGTATGACTCAGAGGCAATAAAAGAGAACTAGAAAAGTCATTTTTCTATTAGTGTACACTGAAACAAACGAAAGAGCAACTCAGTTACTGTAAAATCAGTTCCACCAAGTATAGAAGTATAAAGTGGTACAGAGTGAAGGAAATGTGACTGTCAAAACTAAGATCTATGCAGTATGATATTAGCCTCCTAAGCTATTTATTAAGAGTACAATCAAACATACTGCTAAATCATTACTAAATTATAAAATGCAAAGAAACAACTCCCCGCACTTACATGCAACATTCCTCCAAGCTTTGATGTATAACCTCGTGGTCGTTCTTTATCTTTAAATCTGAATGCAACAGCATTTAGATCCTAGGAAAGAGCGTAGGACTAAATACTATTTTAAGCATAATTACTGGCTACTTAATTCCTTTTTATAAAGTAGGAAAAGGAAGGAGTTTTGTTGTATCCATTTTGTAGTAGACAGGTTCCTAACACAAAGTTTTCAGTAATATTCAAATTACGTAAAACTCTCAAGCAATTTCAGGTGGTATCATGATGTGAAGTGTTATACAAGACTTGTAAGTCCTGTTTGCACTCATGTTTGAGTTTCCTGATAATCTGCAAACACACCAACTCTGACACAACCAATACGTAGTGTTCCAGTGCAATGTTCATTGTATGTTAATGAACTGAAGCCTTTCCCTCTTCCTTTTTCGTTCCTTTTGTTCAGGCAGCCAAAAGGTTAGGTTTAGATGTAGAAAGTGTGTTTCTTTACACTGGCAAGGGTGAACTAAAGAGATCTAAGACTACAAAGCCAACATCCTTCTGTGAATCCACACAGAGAATCTGGTTAATTCAACAATTCAGCTGAAAATCAACTCAAAAGAAGATTCCTGTCAAATCAGTTTGCCAGCTCTTCTAACTTTCCCTCACAGTCTCAGGTGTGCTGGGACTGATACACGAGGGGGACAGGAAAGACACAGGGATGAAATGGGAGGGAGAGACTACCTTTTTAAAAATCTTGTATTTGCTTACAATGACAGTGAAAGAATTCCATTGGGACTTTTAGCAGTGGGTAAAAATACTTCTTTCACAACTATACAGTGTCAAAATGCAAGAAATAAAGTTAACACCTCTGCAGAATTTCTCCTCTTAGACAAAACAGACTCAACAGTTTTCACCAAATAAAGCTAAGATGGAACAAGAAATCTTTAACCAAGTATTGGTAGTGAACCCGTGAGACCATATATATAAATAAAACTGGTTTTATTTCACACTGTCACTGAGAATTGCAGCACTATTTAATGCTAATAGGACACTTTACATTTTTGCTCTGTACACACAAAACCATACAGACTTAAGAAGCATGAACAGTTCAGCAAAGACTGAAGAGTGAAGCAGCCCATGAAAAGATTCATCTCACCTCTCAAAAAGGCGAGAGAATAAACAGCAAATTAAATGTCCCACTGCCTTTACAATCTCAACTATACAGTTTGACACATGAAAGAAGAGAGGGGTAGAGTAACAGACGTTTCAATTTCCAATTCTGTGTTACCTCTCATAGCAAATGCTTCCCCCCCACCCCACCTCCTCCTTCAGCAGAGACTAAGGAAGGTTGTGCAAAATCCTTGCGGGCAGGGTAAGATACTTCTTTCCTCACCTCCATTATGCTATCATAAAATGTAACTCATCTCTGTAAAAGCATTTCACATGTACCTTAAGACAATATATTCTGAATGTACTTAGTCATTTGTGTCACATTTCACCTTCAAAAATCAATAAACTTAATTCCCATGTGATGATTAACTACTATTTCCACACCCAAGGAATCTATTTCTACTTATATAAAAATCTGTAAAAATACAGTCACTGTGTATTTCAAGTACCAATCACCCTACCTTGCACTCTTGGAAAACCCATTCTTGAGGTCCTTCTGTACGTAGTTTTTGAATATACTGAAACATGTGCAAAATAATGTCTTCAACGTGCACTGGGAAGAAAAAATACTTGCTTAATAATTCACTCAGCTCTGCACAAAGAAAAATACTGATGAACACAAATATGTATGGTTTTATTTTTAATTACATCCTGATACATCAAGATATTTAAGTACATACGCAATCCCACTGGCAAAGTTAAAGGTTTTTCCTCAGGCTGAATTTTTAAGGTAAGAGTTTATGTCCCCCAGCTAGTTCTGAGAACTACACTGAACATGTCTTATGTGAAGACACTGATTTATAATACAATTTAACTCAGGTCTAAGTAGTATGAGTATGAGTAAGTAGCATACAAAGCTATTAACAGCTTTTCTTGTAAAGAAGTTTACTTTAAAATATTTAATGAAATAATTTAATATATCCTCACATAAGTCCATTTCTTATGTTAGATAAAGTGTGTTAGCATACTGAGAGGATCTAAACACAGAATAATAACCAGTTAATTAAATAAATTTACTTTCAAGCTATGAACACAATTATTCTCTTTGGATACAAACACAGACCCATCAGATCAGGAATAACATGGAATGCAGACATAGTGTTTCACTTACAAAGTCCTTCCTCTGTCAAGTCCACATTAATGATGAAAAACATAAAGCCTCTAGCACCCTCCTTCTGTCCTCCAACAAGAGTATTTACCCATCCTATGAAATAAAAAAAAAAAATAAATTACAAAACCAAATCTGTAACAATTTATGCTACTTTTTGTATGCCTCAGCAACATTAATTTTTTTTTATTTTATTTTTTTTTTTTACTTTTTGACTACTTTACAATGTTACCCTTCTCTACCTTAACACCTATAGGAACAAGTTAAACAAGTCAGATATATCTGATTTTGTGCTCAGAGTGGTATGACAAACTCAAGATCATTTGATTACTGGGTAATTTATTTGTTTGGAACACAGTAATATAAAGATTAGCGAAAGATACCCCCCCTTGTAGTTCATTAAGGGACCTGATGATAGTCTCTAAGTCAGTGACAGAACAGAGACAAGATCATTATGTCAAAGTTTATGTAACTCTAAACAGGGACAGATAAAGGGAAGTGCAAGAAGTAATAGCTTCAGTAGTCAGAGTACCTATTAATTTGTACCCACCACAGAAAAAGGAATAAAGCACAAATCAACTGACCACTCAAAAAGTTGCGGGCTTTAAATTTAACATACAGAGGTAAATTTTAAGTGAAACGTATCTAAGCTTTAAAAAACTGCATATTAAACCACTTCTTTACCTTCAAAGGACTTACCTTTAGCTTTAAGCTCTGATAAGAGACTCCCTGGGCCTTCATGCCCAATCAGATGGCCAAGGTAATGGCCAGGGTTTGATTTATAGTACTTCTGAAGGTCTGGTATAGGAAACGTGACATAAAGATTTCTAATGTCCTTAATAGGTACCACTTTGTAAAGTTGCTGAGGGGGAAAATAAACAAGGAGATCCATAAACAAAAGGAAATTCTCATTATTTTATTAATCTCAGAAGCACATATGTTCCCTTCATACACACGCATTAGCCATTCATGATGGAAGAAACAGAGGACAAAGTACCTCTCAGTTGCTTACAGCTGCAACCAAATGAACCACCTTTACTATAACTATACAAAATACACTCAGCATGGAAAGAAGGATGGAAAATTAAGGAAGAAATACTGAACTTAACAGGGACACTGATACAAATATAGTGAAGTGCACAATGTATTACTGAAATATAAAAAAAATAAAAAAAATCTGTTAAGGTAGACACTCCTGATGGAAAATGTATCTCCATACGTACCCGGAGATGTTCTTCTTGGAAGGGATGTTCAGGGAACTCTGGTATAGGGACATTTTTATTCTCTACTTCAGAAAACAACTTTACCACTAAGCAAGTAAGCTCATCCAAGGATTCTAGAATAAATAAACATTAAAAAAAGCATAATAATTATGTGAAGATTCTGGCAAATTTGGATTTTGTATATTTTTTATTTATACAGAAAAGTAGTTTTAATGATATGATGATTATTAATTTCGGAAATGAAATCTATATTAATACCTCAGTTTTTAACTACAACATGCTATAAGCATCATGCCTACTAAAGGAAGGCTTCAACCATCATTAAACTAAGTCCTGTAACCAGAAAAAACATCTTTAAATTGTACTGATGAATCTAAGCTGGAACCAAAGACAAAAACACATCAGATATTGAACATTTACAAAAATAAACATTCCAGAAAATGCATAAGGGACACAGCATTACAGCTGCAAATTTTCCACAGTAAAAGCATCTTTGCCAAAACCTGGATTTTCTTCAGCCTCAGCTCACCTCCAGTACCTCACATACACGGTGAGCCAGGGTCACCTGTCCCCAGCACCCCAGAATTTCACACACATCTGTAACCTGTTGATACACTTCTGCTTTTTCCAGTTTCAGTCCAGGAGTCTAGTACTCTCCAAAAATGAAAGAAACACCATTTACAGAAATAATTTGATGTTGTGCATGAGTTCACTTAAATGGAATTACACTGTTTCTGTTGAAATACTGCCTTCAAAAGAGCCATCTGCTTAAAGAAATGCCTTTTGGAGCACTTCTCAAAAAGTGAGAATAAGATGAGACACTCATCCACCAAGGTTTTTTTAGCCCATGCCTTTCAAAGGTGGGCATTGAAGAAAAACTTTGGTGTTTCTTGGATGTCTCTAAGTACAACCTTAATTCTTGCAAGATTTCAAAAAGTGGTCTCCTTGTTAGTCAAAACAATCCCAGTTAGATTTAGAAAGCGGAATCTTGCCTGCCCAACATAGGCAGACTCCTACACTACAAGGAGAGAACAGTGGGGGGGAGGGGCAAAAACAAAGCAAAACAATGCAAACCAAGATAGGTCACTGTACAATAAAATTCTATGAACTGCCCATAATTCTATTAAAGCCCATTATTTTTTACCCACATCAGCAAAATACAAACACATTTAAGCTTTACAACTACAGTGAGGGTTTTCTTTAGGACGGGTTTCTAGTTGCCATGGTGATTCTTACTGAAAAAGTTTCCATTTAAAAGTCTGTATGTGAACTGCTGTACTAAAGCTGTTCCAATTACTCAGTGAATTTGCTGTAAAATATTCTGTGGAAAATTTTAAGCAGTTGGAACCTCTGTTAAATTAATTCAGAAGTAAACTGAAATAAAAGCTTTTTATCTGAAGGTTAGGTTTATCCTTTGATAATATAGCATTTTTTGTAGTGGAAGCCTAAAAGCCCTCCCAACATCTGAAACCAGATAGGTATCAGTACTCATAAGACAAACACACAATGAATGACTTGATAATGGATTTTTAAATTTCAGCTTACTTTTTCTACGAACACATATATTTATACATTGCAAGTTGCTTTGGAGACTTCACTAAACATAAATTTATGTTTGGTCAGTCTGTGCAAGTTTTACTTTCTTCCCTTCTGTAGGTTTTCAGACATTTGCATACACTTCATTTTCTTCGCAATATAAATACATGTAAAGTCTTACTCAACCACCAGAACAAAACTCACCTCTTCCCAAGACACAAATAGCCATTAAATTTGAAGAATAATAAGTAGAATGGAACTTCAATAGCTCTTGTCTTACATCTATTCCTTCTTTGGTTGGTCTAGTTTCCAAAGTGAGTTTGTTCCCTGTAACATAAAAGGAAAGTTAACATTACTTCATGTTTATTAGTTTACAAATCAAAAAGAAAAATATAAATGCATAAATTTGCTTTTCTCCAGGTAGATAGTAAATTTAAACATAATTACTACATATAGTAGGTAATAATCTCAGTTTGAGACAGTAAGTACTTCCAGTCTCATTCTGCACATTCCTAAAGAACCAAGGATGTTTTAGTCTTCCAAATTAACCTTTTCATTTGAAAGGGTTATTTCAAAGCAATGCAAGTAGGCCCAGGCTCTAATTCAGAACAAGAAAAAGGTTTGTCTTTGGCATATTTAGAGTAGTTTCACTCCCATATACACACTCCTGGGATTCAAATGAGTCACTGTGTGAAATTGTGTCCTTGTGTGCCACAAGTTATAGCCTAGTATATTAAATGAAATAATCACTCATTTACAAACATGATTTGTAAATTTTGACTATTCATCTTCTGCTTCACAAACAGCTGAGGTGTTGCTGCAGTAGTGGAACAGAACTAGAGAGGAAGAGAACCACAACTCTCCCTGAATAAGCCCATAAGCAGAAGACACCAAACTTTCTCCATTAAGTTATCCTCCTGTTAATTAGTGCAATCTTTACATCAAGTTTTCAATAATTTGTTCTAAGAACATAGGCCACATTTATAGTCAAAGCAGAACTTGTGTTCAATAAAGGTAAGAACCTGAAACGACAGAAAAATTAGCCTATGAAGAGCTTGCTGGATTTTTATCAACTTCACTTCCCATTGCTACATGGACACACAAAATGGTTAAGAGAATCTTAATCTGCAAACTAATATTCTATCTGTTAACCTGAAATCAGTAACTCCCTTAAGCCACAAGCACAACAGGTACAGAACAGAGCAAGGGATGAAAAGGAAGAATAAGGCATGAAGAAAAGTTGACTCGTGTTTATAGGAAAAACAGCAAGGAAAAAAAAAAAAAGACTGGGAGAGCGTACCTGCTATGCAAATATGCCCAATGCACAAACCCTACAAGCACAGATATAAGTTAATACAAATCAATGAGGCAAAATTACCTACATAAATAAGTCATGTATATTGTCCAGATGTCTGGTGATTAGATACAGGTCTAATTACAAGTGCAACAGTCAACAAGTCATCACAGAGAGGCTGCCTGAAGCACAATACATTGCTTTAGTTTTCAAAATTCACCTGTGATTAAAAGCAAGAATTCCTAACAGCACCTAGAAAGGACACTTAGGGTATTACTGTATTGGGTTTTGGTAGCAGTGGGCTACCACGGTGGCTTCTTTAAAGAGCTGCTAAAAGCCTTCCTATGTCTGATAGAGCCAATGCCAGCTGGTGCCAAGACGAGACCACTGCTGGCCAAGGCTGAGCAGTCATAATGTCTGTGGTAACACGTTTAAGAAGGTGGGGGGAAAACCAGAAGCGTAGATATTGCAGACAGACACAGAGAGTGCAATATGTGAGAGAGAACTCAAAACGCTAAGGTCAGTGGAGAAGGAGGGGGAGCATGTCCTCCAGGCATGGAAGCAGAGATTCCACGGCAGACCATGGTGCAGACCATGGTGAGGCAGGCTGTGCCCCTGCAGCAATAAAGGGTCATGGGGGAGCAGGGATCCATCTACAGCCCATGGAAAATCACATGCTGAAGCAGGTGGATGCCCCAAGGAGGCTGTGATCCTGTGGGAAGCTGACACTGGCAAGCTCCTGGCAGGACCTGTGGACCCCACAGCGGACCTACACTAAGGCAGAATGCTGCTGAAGGACTGAACCCGTGGAAGGGACCATGAAAATATTTCACTTGTATCAGATATAAAACTTCGTCAGATTGTAGAGAACACATGTTTTCAGAGTGGTACACAAAAATTACAAAATCTCTTCAGTAGCAGAGATTACAGAACGTGCTTTAGATGACTGCTTGCTTATCAACATGAGGTTCCCAAGACTGTTTTCGAATTTACCTGTTTGGAGAACAGAGTTATAGTTTCCTGTTTCAGACAACCTCTCTTTATTGGCAAACAAAGCAATACATGCTCCTGTAGCAGCTGCCTACCAGCCCCTCAACTATGCACTCCACCACCAAGTGCCAAAACATTCTTATCTTTCTTGAGACAGAGGAAGAAGCCAGTCCTTAAAGCCCATTATCTCCCCTCTCATCATTCTACTGTACCCAATATTTGCCTCAACTATTCATCCAGCAAACTGACCTAGCCACAAAATACATTCATACTCAAGGATTAAACAGTGCAGTGCCTGAATTAATAACCTGGTTACTTCAATAGTTCAAAAAATAAATTGACGTAGCAAGTAACTTCTATGAAAACAAATCCATTTAATCTTCCACCAAAGCATTAAACATCTGTGGGTTTTCCCATAACCATGGTATCTTACTTTAATGTTGTTTAAATAGAGGGGTTTGGGTGTTTATTTTTAATTGTTACTAAGCATTCTGTGAATAATAAAGCCTGAAGAATAGAATAACTACAGTCTTAAGACTGAGATTTGTCTAAGACTCTTTTACCCATCCATCTACTAGTGTTGCGTTTCACGCTTAAGATTTTGTTTTTATATTCTTAGTAATATTCATGTTACATCACTGATCCTTCTCATTCAACCTAGTCACTGTCGTCTAGTCCTAATGCAATACTAGTTAGCAAACAAAGCATGTGACTAACAACAATTTAAACACAGTTCATTCATTTTGTTATGCACAAAGACTTAACAGCACCGAATTATGACAAATTCAGTAACTGGAAAACAGCATCCAGTGCAGTAATTATCAGAATCACGAAGGATGCTTAATCACTGTACTGCAAGTCTTGGATCACTCTGCTTCCTATGTTTTTGTCTAGCTCTGTTTGGTCTATGATGTGGAAAATAAGATAAAGCACCATAATAAACACGTATGGAGAAGAAAAAAAGCAAATTGTTTCAGCCTGTCTTTAACAATTTTATATAAACAATAATACTGTGTATGTTACATAGAACTCCAATGGATGGATAATTATATTCTGACAAACCTGTTCCAAATTTACTGAATGGATGATTGGGGTTTCCAGTAGCCTTCTCCAATTGAAACAACCTCCAGGCATCATTCATTAGATTCTTCTCATGCTCAGAATCAACAGCATTCACTTCCCTGTCTTTGCAGCTTTCATCAAACAAAGGGCACAGGAAAAACTGGGCAAATCTAAACAGAAAAATTTTCATTCAAGACAAGAGTACTGCACATAACTGGTAACAGAAAAGTGTGAAGCTTGGTGTCTCCTGCAAACAGGTGAATATATTAATTTTTAATGCAGAACTTTGAAATTCTGTTAATAGTTTTGACACTGATTTGTGTTCTCTATTTCTCAACTTCTTTATCTATAAATGCAGACAACACATTAATCATATAAGACACTACAAGGATCAAGGACTTTGCATTGTAATTCATACACTGAAGACTCCTGATGTTTTGAAGTTTAGCTGCAAGAGGCTCTTAATCTCACAAATCAAATCAATCTTGTCAGACATCCAGGGAAAATCCAAAGAGAAAATTCTCTTTACCCCGCTGACTACATGCCCTTCAATTTCTGCCCCTTCCCACAAAAGGCAGAGATTTCAATTCCGTTCACTAAAGATATTCTCATATATTTCTAGACTTCAACCTTCTTTTGCTATCGATGAAATAAGGATCCTATGGGAAGCACAGTATTTGATTATACAATCAGAGTATTTGCACAATGCATAGGTTCACGACCACATTCTGAGCCCCACGTTTCAAAAAGTATTCAGTGTAAACACAGCCCCTGAACTTCAAAACTTCTGCCTTAGTGAAAAACTCCACTAGCAGAAAAATAATCTGAGTAAAATGTTTGAACTGAAAAATACCTGGTATCAGGATACTGCTCTCAACCCTCTCCTTAATAACATAAAGATAAAACTATCAAAAACTTGTATACCATTTCAAACAGCATCTATAAAACAAAAAATTAAATATAAAATGTGTTTACCTGTCTAGGGCACCTTCTAAATGTTCATGTGACACATCAAAGTAATAGTTGGTATGTTCTCCACTTGTGAAAGCGTTTGAGCTCCCGGCATGCTCACTAAGGAATTGGCTATACTCGTTCTCTTTTGGGTATTTCTTGGTTCCCAGGAACAGCATATGCTCACAAAAATGACTAAGCCCAGCAATGTTGGGGGGATCAGACAAGGATCCTGCAGGAGGAAAAACTTCATGTAACCATTCATAAAAAGTAATACTAAAACATTAAGTCTTTTGAAGTGCTTTAGATTACAGTATATTGCCTCAGGCAATTATACCAATTCTGTAGATGTAACCAGACACTTGTGCAGCTACAGTCAACTAAACTCAAAAAAAAAAAAAAAAAAAAAAAAAAAAAGAATGAGGAACTGAACCGATTAGTGTCTTAAACTGGCTCTCCAGAAGAACCTGTGTTGCCTTACAGAGACAATTTTTAAATTGAAGTCCATGACTCACAACCCATACAGACCTGCAGATCACAATGTTCTGACTTCTATACCTTGACTTTAATAACTGCACTGTGTTAAAAGGTATCAATTGCCAACCACAATTAAGGAGGTATTTTTCCTGTGGTTTAGAGGACAAGTGATAACCTGTAATTGCCTGAACTAAAGCAGCTATTGATTACCAGGTGTGAAGGCAGACAGATCAAAGGTCAATAATGATGTGCAAGAATGGAAGCCAGAAACATGGCAGTTTGAGTCTGGCAGTCCTGTTTTGGAGTGTGCAATGACATACAATGGGAGAGTAGAGACGAAGGCCACAGATACATCTCCTGTAGCACATGTGCAGGAACTGAATGCTGCAGCTGATTACTACTGTCATACTACCTAATGACATGTGGGATGCTCTGAACTACACCATGATTTGTGACAGCCATCTCCATAATAAAAGAGGCCAGAAGTTTTCAAAACTACTCGATGCCTTCTGTCCCAACACCAACAGCAGCAACAGCTCTGAACAACAAACATGGCAAGAGGATGCCCAGGTAATGAGTAAGGATGCTTAGGCAATGTGTGCATGCATCATACTTTTCAAGCAACTGAGAAACACCTCAAATATAAGAAAAGGCTTCCATTATTCCAAAGAGTCAAAGTAACGGCCCTCCCCTTCTATTTCCAGTATTTGTTTGCATCCTTAAGCACCACTGGAGTTAGGGAGTGCTCCTCCAGCACTATAGCATTTTCTCACCTCTACATACCAACAACTTCACATGGGGAAAAAAAAAAAAGTCTGACATGACAGATGGAGCTGTCTGAAATAATTGCACTCACACACACCCCTTTTGCTTACAAAAGATCTTTCATAACACGAAACTTAATGGTTAAAAGAAGTCTTTCTACTGAGCTACGCCTAAGTAAACACAGAATACAATAAGAGAATTTAATTAGCTCTAATAATTTTCAACTTGATGCATCAAAGAATTAAACAAACTCTGAGTTATAATAAAAGGATAGGCTGCCAACTGGATACTTACTACTCCTGGCAGTTTATTTGCAATGAAGATAACCAAACTTAAAGCATTTTTATTAATGACATAATGAACACAACATGCATTAAATACCTATGTGCACATCAAGTGCTGCTGAAGACTTATCTGTGGTGGGGTCACTAATGAGAAGAGCTTTAATGCCATTTGCCAATTCCAATCCACGATATTCTCGTTTATCCTCAGGTGATTTGATAATTTCATTTGTTATTCTCTTAATAGCTGGATTGTTCATTTTGTTGTTTGTCGCTTTCTGAAACCTTAAAGAAAACAAAATAAATTTTTATTCTTACTTAAGCCCTGTTTACGTCAATATTACGTTAGAGAATACTGGGAAAGGCAAAATTGCCAGCAAGAAATCCAGTTCTGTGCAAAACTCAGGGAACTGGCCTAAAAGAGATGCTGCAGTTAAAACAAACAAACAAACAAAAAACCCCAAAGACCAAGCAACATGATAAAATTGTAGATCACGTAATTGATTGTTTCAAGTTTCAGTCGACAGTAATTAACAAATAACTTCATAAAGAAATATCATCCCCTTACTCAATTACGGTAAAAGGGAAACAAAGCATACATTGCTATCTCAAGTATACTTTCAGGCTTCAGGAACGTATTTCATGTGTCTGAATTGGTGGTTATATTGTGAATGTTGTAACTTTATGATTGTCAGGTAAGCAGAATTTTATTAATAAACCGCTGCAAGAAAGGAATAACAGCAAGAAAGAGTGACACCATTTACAATACTGCCATAAAAACACAAGCGCACTGTAGAATTGCCATGATAAACAGGAATAGACTCACATGTTTAAACTTCTCTTATTAGTTAAACAGACATGCTAGAAGATGTACTTTAATGACACAATTTTGAAATGCTAAGAAACTAAGTGTGATTCTGAAATTATAAACTCTACTTATTAATTTTATTCAATGCCAAATGAAAAGGCGAGACACTCAAACTTGGATATTTGGGGAGGCAGAGTGGAACCACTTGGCTGCATGCTAAAAGAATAACCACCACAAAAAAACCCCAAATACCCCACCACAATAAACAAAAACCAGCAACACAACCACACACATAAAGAAGCAAACCCCAGAAAAGGAAATGAGCATGCTATGCCCTGAGCCAGCCATGTGGTGTGTTCCTGTGTGTAACAGCCACTGAGTTCTAACCATGTTTTACAGGAAGAGCTTTAGAACGCGGCCTGTTATAAATGCATAGTACCAACCAAACTCAATCTTTTCCTGTGGTGAGATGTTGCTTGCCATATTGCCAAGTAACTTACTACATGAGCTTCATTAGCCATTGCTCAACTAATTTACTTACAAACAAAAGCAGATCCGAGTCACTTAGATGACTCCCCAGCACAACACATACACAGAAGCATGAAAAATTTTGTACGGTTCTGTTGGTATCACATGGATAACAAGAAGTTACACAGTATTTACTTTCCCATTTTCAGGTTGTATGGTTCAAGGAACTTCATCCAAGTTTAAAGAATACATACAACCTTTAAGAACATATGGGATCGGGTCCATGAAGGACTGAACAATTTTCCACATACTTATTGTTTCAGGTCTTCAGTCATGACATTTTAACTCACTCCAGCTACCCAATCAACTGTATCTTAATGTTACCAGATACACAATAAAAAACTTCAGAACAATAAATCTGGTTGTATGTTTTATTTACAACTTAAAATTACAAATGAAAAAGGGAGTCAGCTAATAAAAACTCCTTCCTAAAATTCTGTACCATTCTCAAAATGGGAAGCAGTTCTGTGAGCTACTGTCCCTCTGGATTATTTCCTTCCTGTTTATTCATGTGATTCTATGGTATAAAACCAAAGATCAACTTGAAGCCAGCAGATGCACGGTCACTGCTGTTGGTGTTACATACTATAATGAAGTGGTATGAAGTACCCCACATGGGGCACTGGATTCGGTTGTGGGACCCCCAACATAAAGATGTGGCCTGTTGGAGCAAGCCCAGAGGAGGCCACAAAGATGCTCAGAGGGCCGGAGCACCACTGCTATGGGGACAGGCTGCGAGGGTTGGGCTTGTTCAGCCTGGAGAAGAGAAGGCTCCGGGGAGACCTTATTGCAGCCTTCCAGTACCTGAAGGGGCTACAAGGAAGCTGGGGGGGACTTTTTACAAGGGCCTGTAGTGACAGGACAAGGGGTAACTGGTTTAAATTGAAAGTGGGGAGGTTTAGCTTAGATACCAGGAAGAAGTTCTTCACGGAGAGGGTGGTGAGGCACTGGAACAGGTTGCCCAGAGAAGCTGTGGATGCCCCATCCCTGGATGTCTTTCAAGGCCAGGCTGGATGAGGCTTTGAGCAACCAGGTCTAGTGGAAGGTGTCCCTGCCCATGGCAGGGGGGTTGGAACCAGATGATCTTTAAGGTACCTTCCAACCCAAACCATTCTATGATAAAAAGCTCATTACTAACAGCATGTTAAGTATAGAAAGTTTATAAACACCATGTCTGCAGGCAAATAAGTGAAAACCAGTGTTTCAGAAACAGAAAATTAGTATTTTACCTGTAGCAGAGTGAAAGTTTATGTAAGACTGGATTTATTCTTGAGAAAAGAGATATATATGTAAACTAGAGAAGACTTACTGTTAAAAAAATGCAGTAATGTAAGCATTAGATCTTTGAATATTTTGAAAAAAGTAAAATTATAATTTGGGAAATTTTAAATAGAGCTATAAAGCACCCTTATATGAAAGCAAATTGCAACAGGAATTATAATCCAAATAAAAAAATAGAAGCACAGAGTATAGAAAGTATCAATGAATAATCAAAATCTGAACATCTCTAAGCAAGAGCCATATACAACATAATTTTTAAATTGTGTAGCTCAATGCCTTTTAGAAGGAAAAACTTCCACTACTGAAACATGGTTCTCTCACTATGAATGACTTAAAAAAGAAGCGCAGTCAAATCTAATGACTGAACAATAACTGAGATGCTGAATTTAAATTTAAACTTGTCATTTATCCACTAGTTTAATCTACAGGCTTCCTTCCACTGAAAAAATGCAGATACCATTCAAAAACAAAGGATAAAAACAAAGGATACCCCAATGTATGTTTCTCTGCAACAACAGGACCGATGTAATCCATGATCATGATTTTAAAAATGCCTCCTTGTTCAAAGTTCAGAGTCCTAAGTTAAAATACCCTACAAAACTTCAGACACTCTCTAAAATTTATGAAGTGAGAATAGATACTACTTTCCATAAATGAAAATCAGTAACTAAACTGTTGTTAATCGCATTTCACTTCCACACAGTTCTGCTGGACTGACAAATATAAGCAGGAGAGCAAAGAGGTCTCACAATCTCCTCATTTCACCTCTGCTAAAGAACACTTATTACTTGGCTTTCAGTAACATATTCCATCTCATTAAGATACTAGTTGTTTATCATAAGATGCATATATACTATAAACTTCTCAAGTTTGGGGTTGTTTGGGTTTGGTTGTCTTGGTTGGGTTTGTTGTTTGTGGTTTGGTTTTTTTTTTTTTATATACAATTTCCTTGTCATCTGATACCTCCTTGTTATTTCTACACCACATCATTAAGTCACAGACCTTTACTGTTTGTTCAGGTGACTCATCTTTCCAATGTGATTCATCAAATTATGCAGCTTCGTGAAATCTTATGAGATTTCAATTGATGCCTTGTGAAGCTGTATACCTTCACTTTATTATCATTCCCTACTCCTGCCTCCTTCATAGGCTACCTCCAGCTTGGTAGTCAAATTTCAGTACAGGAAAAACCTACGATTTTCAAGAAGTCAAAATCAGTAATTCATAGAATCACAGAATGGTTTGGGTTGGAAGGGACCTTAAAGATCATCTAGTTCCAACCCCCCTGCCATGGGCACGGACACCTTCCACTAGACCAGGTTGCTCAAAGCCTCATCCAGCCTGGCCTTGAAAGACATCCAGGGATGGGGCATCCACAGCTACTCTGGACAACCTGTTCCAGTGCTTCACTACGATCTCCGGGAACAACTTCTTCCTGATATCTAATGTAAACCTCCCCACTTTCAATTTAAACCAGTTACCCCTTGTCCTGTCACTACAGGCCCTTGTAAAAAGTCCCCCCCAGCTTCCTTGTAGCCCCTTCAGGTACTGTAAGGCTGCAATAAGGTCTCCCCGGAGCCTTCTCTTCTCCAGGCTGAACAAGCCCAACTCTCTCAGCCTGTCCCCATAGCAGAGGTGCTCCAGCCCCCTGATCATCTTTGTGGCCTCCTCTGGACTTGCTGCAACCGGTTGATATCCTTATGATGTTGGGGGCCCCCGAGCTTAGCTAGAATAGAAAATTTTGATTAAGATAAACTATTTATACCATGACTTTTTCTCAGGGAGTTAACTGTAAGACATAATATTAAACATTCCCTCATATCACTGCTTTTCCGTTCAACTTTTAAGTTCTCTAAATACAACTGCCTTATAACAATACCATGTTGCATTCTTTCATGCAAGAATCCTAAAACACTACAAACCACTTTTGTACAAGAGAACTGCTTTCGACCACAGGGTGCAGGGTATAATGGAAATAGAATTCTGTATTTCTTGTAGTTCTTTCCTAAAGGTGTGTTCAGATGCTGTCCTAAAGTACATGTGCTATATCTACTTCCTATGCTGTCATTCCAGGGAGCACTGAATGCTGATGGTCAGTAGCAAAGAAATTCATTCACAGACTAAATTCTATGTTTATTGCAGAGCTAATATCCTAATGAAAATGTCATTAAAAGAAATATTGTTATACTACTTTCACAAAACAGAAGCAACAGAGAAAGACCCAATAAAGCAAAGACAGCAGGAACAAATACACAGCATTACTGTGGCATTAGGAATTCTTCCCCTGGCTCAAAAATTACAGGTGGCAAGATGACGGAGCTAGAAAGAAAAAGAGAAAAGAACGGGGATGTTTGAACTGAGAGTGGTGTCCCTATCTAGTGACTAGGAAATATTAAACATCCTTCCTCCTCATCAAAATTACATCACTTGTACAAGAAAAGTGTAAATTAAAAGAGACAATGAATTTTGAACTATAGCACTTTGAAGTAAAATTATATTAGATTTTTTGAGGTCCCGTTTTTGTAATGATTTCCAAGCAGGCAGTCCCTTGGAACCCGCAAAGCTCTCTGGGGATGCCAGGTTCCACCTGCAAACAGAGTATTACAGCGTGGGATTAAGTGATACATGATTTCTCCCTAACTATTTTAATCTTTCAAAGTT